TTTTCCTGATGCAACACAGCACAAAAATGTTCATGGCTCCCCATAGCCCACAAATCAAGTCCTAGGCTTGCTCACCAATGCCTTCAATAATTGCCCCATATACATTTTCAACTTTAATTTCCCACTTTCTCGGGCACAAATCTTCCATCCCAGTCATTTCAGGTGAGGTCCACAGCTTGAGTCACCATAACTGCTGAATTCCTTTACTCACATGGAAAAGTCACCCCTTGGCTTTTACATCCTCTTCTCCCCGCCCATCTGAATGCTATCACCTTCCAAGCCCCAGCCCATTTCTCCAGCCCATATTAATTATGCTTTTTCTGAAGGTCTAGAGCACTTAACTGACAGTACTATTTATCTTGTCACTCATTTAAATTCAGTAAGTGCTATTACTGTTCATATTTTGTTTTGGGAGATTTTTTCAAGGAGCATTTCTACATTCCTGGCATTGTGTTTGGTGCTCAAAATGTTTTCTCACTTAATTCATGCAATAACGATATGCACATTTTAAAATCAAGCATCAGGGATGTAGTTATTTGCCCAAATTTTAACAGCTAATAAAGTGGAGTGATTGTTTTTCTTTTTGGTCAGTTTGTTTTTTCTGGAGTTTCCAATTGCCTTTTGCATCTCTTGGTGTGCTGGTGGGATACAAAATGCTCTTACCCATGGTCTAGTCCTTGAAAGTACAAATCTGGTCATTTTTATCATTTAAAAAAGTAATCTTTTTATAAGAATGTTCATTGTGCTATTATTTATATCGTTGAAAAAATAGAAATGGCCTCAATGTCAAACACTCAGTTATGAAACATTCATATAGTGAAGTATTACAGCCACTAAAGTCATTTTGCATGGATATTTAATGATATAGGAAAATAGTCATGATATAGTGTTAAAGGAAAAAAGAAGCAGGATATATTTTATGATTTATATGTTTAGTAAACACATAAAATTAACTGTGTGCCACGTGCTGCTCTAAATCTTTTACACAGGGGACTCATATAGGAAGATTACCAATTTATGACCTTGAGCTAGTAATTTAGCCACTCTAGGATTAATTTCCTCATCTGAAAAATGAAGAAGGTTATATTTGTCTTCCTGAAGGTATGATCAAATGAATTAATGCTTGTAAAGCATCAAAAACACAGCACATGCTTAAACAAATGTTCCTTTATTATGTTCTAGACTGGCCATCCTATAGCGCACTAGTGAGTATTTTTAGGTTGGTGCAAAAGTAATTGCTATTTTTGACAATACTTCCAATTAATATTTTGTTTACTTGGTTTCTTTGTCACCAAGTGATATGTTAGTAATTATTGAACAGTAATACATGTTTTAGATTCATTAGTTAACTGAGAGATAGTTGCCTAAATAATTACGTATCTACTCCTACTAAGGAGAGGAGTAGGTTTGTGTATAAGAGGGAAATCCTGACACTTAGTTTTATGTGCGGTTAAATAGAATGATGGATGTTTTCATCTTTTTACAGCCTCTCTAACAGTGGTCACTTACTTTGACCTCATTATTTTGAATGGTTATTTGAGTCACATTTTAGCTGTATACTAACTAATGACAATAATTTAAAGCAGTTAGCCTGATACTTTAATCTATGATGAACTGACAATTAAAATAGCACATTATAATTAGGTATGATGCAATATGTTCTTGCATTAGCTTATCATCTTTGAAACAGAGATGCCTCATGATTTAGCTTTTTGTTGTTGTTGTTCTCAAGATAGGGTCTCACTCTGTCACACAGGCTAAAGTGTAATGGTGTTCACTGCAACCTTGAACTCCTGGGCTTAAGAGATCCTCCTGCCTCAGCCTCCTGAAGGGCTTGGACTACAGGTGCAGGCCACCACACACAGCTAATTTGTTTATTTTTGCAGAGATGGGGTATCAGTATGTTGCCCAGGCTGGTCTAAAACTCCTAGCCTCAAGCACTCCTGCCGCATCTGCCTCTCAAAGTATTGGGATTACAGGCATGAGCCACTGCACCTGGCTGCAAATTATTTGTCTTACATAGAGATCTCTAATCCAGTTATGGATATCTAAAACTTGCTTCAGTTTTTCCTTTGTCTTTTAGTAAAGCAATTGGGGGGGAAAATGCAGTTAAACTATGAAAACAGCAGAGGGCAATAATGATCTGTAAATCAAAATTTCAAAACTTTCACTTATTAAATTCATTCTTTAAAAAAATCACTGTTCTTATAATAAATCCACTTACTAAATATGAAATGTAGGAAAATTCCAAATGTAACCCCACATAAAAATTACATTGC